GATCACAGATATAAAAAACAACAATTAAAACACAATAAGAAGCACTTAACTAAAAGCCTGTCTGAATAAAAATGTCTTAAGATGTGTGGAAGATGTACTCAGTCCACAGATGGTCTGAACGATCAGAAATAAAGGAGAGAGACAAAAGAAAAGTCTGACTGTTTGTGTCAAAAATCATCACTACAATTTAATAACTAATATRTAATGTTAAATGTCTGAGACAACAYTTGGACAATAGAACAGTTTCTGCAGTTGACCTTAAAGGGATAGTTTGGTGTTAGAACTTAAGTATGTTCAAGTTTCTCAGTGAAAATAGACCACGAGCACATTTGTTTAGAATCTTAGCATTAATAAAACATACTTTTGCCAGCTGTTAGTCTTAAAGGAATAACCTGGCCATTTTAAAGTGGGATTCTGTGTAAAAGTTAAAAATGTTTAAAATCTTACCCAGTATAGATAGCCCTTTGAATGCCTTCAGTTTGTAGAAACAGAGTTTACATCCAACAAGCCTGATGAGCTCATGGCTAGTCTAAAAGTGGCACTGAAATGCCATCAAGTGTTTTTATTTCCACACTTTTCATAGTGATTCATTTGTTATTTCAAAAACCCTTAAATCAGGATCATTATTGTATTACATAGTTATTTACATAAAACACTACAGTTATTTGTAAGTATAAAAAGCACCAGCAGCAGTAATATGTAAATCTTCCCAAGTATCCAGAAACAACGCCTGGCTTTGATTACATATTTTTAATAACCACCTAATGCAAAACTGACTGCAACGTTTGCATGACAGCATTCTCGTGAACTGCTAATTGGAGCTGTTTTAGGAAGCAGTTGGTTGATTTGGGCGAGTCATTTTTAGCTTGTCAATGTAATCCAAACAGACCCACTTCCAAAGTACTCCAATCTTCAAAATCCCATTATTTAAATCTTTACATTCAATTACATATTACAAAACGCAGGTGTTTTAGCCAATGAAAGTCATGTCAGATTGACAGGCGGGACTTCATGAAACTTGCAACCTCCGGATGCTGCTGGTGCTATTTACACTCACAAACAACCACTTGTTTATGGAAATACCTGCGCAATTCATAATTTAATGTGTCACAAGAGTTTATAAAACAACCTTTTTTTGTTCTCTTTACCTTTTTGCACTCCCGGTCCATCTGCGCTCCCTAGATAACACTGACACCTTTAAAAATCAACTAAAACACATTTATTCACTCAAGCATTTAGCTAAAGGTATCCTGCCGTCTACAACATAAATCCTGAACCTAAATTTCCATGACTGCAAAACRTGTATTTTACTTCTGACTTGTATCCATTCATTTACATTTTATACGCCATGACCATCGACTCCAATTAGTTACAGGCAAGCCTATCTATTGTATATACCTTAATTACTTTTTTCTCCATCATTGCCACATCATGCCTCCTGCTATTCCAAACCAAAAATTTGAGAATGTATTGACCTGAATTACATCATTTGTAATGTAATTGTCAATTATTTCTGTTTTTCTATTTTTGTTCAATTATTGTACGGCACCTTGTGAATTCTATTTCTGTGAAAGGCGCTCTATAAATAAAATTTTACTTACTTACTTACTGACTAACTGACTGACTGACCGACTGACCGACTGACAGAATTATTGACTGACTGACTGACTGACTGACTGACTTACTGACTGACCGACTGACCGACCGACCGACTGACTGACAGAATTACTGACTGACTGACTGACTGACTGACTGACTGACTTACTGACTGACCGACTGACCGACCGACCGACCGACTGACTGACAGAATTACTGACTGACTGACTGACTGACTTACTGACTGACTGACTGACCGACTGACCGACTGACCGTCCGACCGACTGACTGACTGACCGACTGACTGACAGACTTACTGACTGACAGACTGACTGACTGACTGACTGACTGACCGACTTACTGACTGACTGACTTACTGACCGACTTACTGACTGACTGACCGACCGACCGACCGACCGACCGACCGACTGACTGACTTACTGACTGACTTACTGACCGACCGACCTACTGACTGACTTACTGACTGACTGACTGACTTACTGACTGACTTACTGACTGACTGACTGACTTACTGACTGACTTACTGACTGACTGACTGACTTACCGACCGACCGACTGACTTACTGACTGACTGACTTACTGACTGATTGACTGACTGACTGACCGACCGACCGACTTACTGACTTACTGACTGACTTACTGACTGACCGGCCGACCGACAGACCGACCGACTTGCTGACTGACTTACTGACTTACTGACTGACTGACTGACTTATTGACTGACTGACTTACCGACCGACCGACCGATGGACCGACTGACTGACTGACTGACTTACTGACTGACTGACTGGCTGACCGACCGACTTACTGATTGACCGACCGACCGACCGACCGACCTACCTACCTACCTACCTACTTACTTACTTACTTACCGGTACTTACTTACTTTTTATGAGCAGGCATGGAACTTTAGACAACAAAGTTGCTTTCTGACTACATGAAAACACTTCAGTTATCAGTCAACTCTGTTTCTTCAAATGGAGGCTGATCAAAAAGCTATCTGCAACAGGTAAGATATTGATTAAATTTTACTTTTACACAGAACCTTCCTTCAGAATAAAAGAATAAAGTCAAACAGGTTCAGTCCAAACTGTAGGATCCAGCCTGTTTTACTCAGTTTCCATCAGTCATGTTTTAACAGGGTCTCCTTGCTCAGTTATTTTCCTTCTTGAGCTGCAGGCCTCACCTGTAGGCAACTGTGCTCACACTCACAATGCAACATGAAACCTTTGTCTGTTCACCGGAAAAGCAACAAGGAACTGTGCCACTAAACTGCCTGCAGTGCTGCAGGTGTGAATATCTGCGCCCTCGCTGTTGTGATTAATGGCAATGGAGCCTGGGCCTTCTCCCAACATGAAGCCATCACAATAGATCTGACAAAAATCAATCAAAACACTCTGTGCCAAGCTAAAAAAAAAATGTGACGAGAAAAAAAAAGTGTCCACGGGGCCAGGAGGCTGACAGTGCTGCTGATTTATTACAGATGTGCAACTCCGAGAYGACGGGGAAACGTGTTTTTAGCATTTGGGAAAGATTTCGGGCTATCATGTGGTCATGATAGGGCAAGATCACATGTTGGAAAAATCAGTCCAAATAGACGACACACACGGATACGCACACACACACTGCAAAAGCATGCGCCTGGACACACCTTTCTAAAATATGTGCAGTCTTCATAGCACTTAGTAGTGAAAAAAAAACATCCATTCATTTTTTTAACCCACTTCTCATGTCTGGGCCGTGGGGAGCTGGTGTCTTATCTCCAGCAGCCACTGGGAGGTGGGGACACMCTGGACAGGTCACAAGTCCATCACAGGGACATATAGGAGACAAACAACCATTCACACCTAACACGAGAGAGAGCGAGCATGTAAACTCCACACAGAAAGGCCCCAGGCCTAAAGACAAACCTGCAACTTCCTCACAGTGTCTACTACAGCTTTAACCACTGTGCTGCTGTGCTGAATGCCCCGCAATAAAACAATCCTAATAAAAAAAATCTAGTTGAGCAATCTAATCATTCTAYGCAGGTTTTTACAAGTTTAACCATCATGTGTAAAATCTCTGCAAACTGCGACTCAATTCTGACATTATTAGCTTATTTATAACCCTTTTATTTTTGTAACACACTAGCTTATAAACAGTGAAAACAGAACTTTTACACTCAACACTTATTTAAAGCTTTTAYTTACTGGCTTTAGACTGAAATGGTCATGCATATCAAATTTATTTTAACTGTATATGGTATTWTTTTAGACCTTTAAGAGATAAAATCATGGTTTATTTATTAATGCTTCGGTTTACGTTAAAAAGAGGATGTCTGAATTTTGTCTGATTTTAAAGGGCATTTAATACTTTATAAATATGAGCTTATAGTTAAACACTTTTAAGTAAAATAGGTCCATTTACAATGTATAAACAACTTTTAGAAAAGACTAAAAATCAGTTGTAGAAAGTGCACTGAATGCAACAAGGTTGCTTACCTTCTCCTTCAGAACTGATAGGATGAAATCACTGTTTATTACATTATCTGACTCTTTTACATGTAAGATGTTGATGTCATGAGGGAATTATTAGGGCATTCAARCCAATTATCTTATTAAGGCTTGTTATAATGCGATTACAGAGCTTGATCTGGGTGATTGTGTCTTTAAGAAGCAGTGAGAGTGAGGAGGTGGTGCGGTTTCACACCCTGGGGTGGGAAGCATGGGCGGGACCTGTGACCGCTGAGTGACAGCCGCTCAAGGGCTGTTTGAGTCCGCGACGCGGGGGGGAATCAGAAACAACCAATCAGGAGCGGGTATAACCCAGCCGTCAAATCCTATTGGCCAATTAGAGCCAGTTGTGGGCGGAGTCTGAAATCGCTGTWGTGCTTCCAACGTGGGACTGCGGAGCAATCACTCACAAAGAAAAAAAAAAGGAAAAGTAACTCGGGAAAGGAGAAAACTCATGGTGGTAAAACTTGGTCTGAAGGAGGAGGGTGGACTCTTATTTCGCTATTAATCGGATGGTTGGGAATTTGTAAGCACAGACTGCACCTGATAAGCTGCTAGTTGAGTTTCTTCGGACGGGAACGAGTTCGTGTGTCGGAGTTGGATTTATGCGGTGAGCCGCTGTTCAGATTTTGAACTAGAAGAAGAAGAAGCGCTCGCCTTTCAGAGCTCAATGCTGGAGTTTTTACCACGACAACTAACTTCTTTACGTCGCATTGAACTTTTGTGGTGACCATTTCTCGACATTATCCGAAGTTTGTGTTCCGCCGCCGTTGAGGAGAACTACTTTTACTGAGAACAACTCGAGCGAAGTGTCGAGGAGCACTTTGCTGCTCTGTTTTTAGAGGATAACAAACAAAGCAGTCCGACAAATCACGTTTTACACCTTTTGACGGACACGGTGAGTTGTAGTTTCTAAGTGACTAACGAGCTTGTTAGTTCTGCTCCGTCTGTGAATTACCTTTGATTTTTCAAACCGCGGCGGCGGACAGCTGAAGGTGGGGGGAAAAGTTGGAGCGGAGACTTGACCATGAGATCTTTTGAGACGGACATCTTTTTACTTCAGCGAAGTTGTTTCTACTAGTCCCGTGTGTTCCCCCCCCCCCCCAAACAAGACAATTGATGAGCTCCGAGGAGCTTTTCCTTTCCCCGGAGCTCCGTTAATATCGCGGGCAGCAGGAGAGCTAAGTGGCCGCGCTATTAAATACTGGATACAAAATGGCGGCGTCCCTGGGTCGATTTGGATACGTGTGTCGATGTGTTTTATATTTAATGCTGTCGGTCGAGCTGTTCGGCTCTTATGGATCGAGCTCAGGTTCGGTCTGTCCCCAGAACTGTACCTGCGGCGGGGACTCAGTGGACTGCAGCGGTCTGGAGCTGACAGCTACACCTCCGGACCTTCCAGCTTGGACTGTTTCCCTGTAAGTAAACAAACAAAAAGTAATTAATTGTTTATTAACCAGACCATAACCGGCTACTGTAATAAAGGCGTAAAACTTATTATTGTTTTAATTAAAGACAGTCAAATAACCATTAGATGAAGAACGTCTGTTTATAAGAGCTGGAGCAGATATTTTGTGACTTGAGCTGAGCCTCATTTTTAAACTGGAGGAGTAAAAGCAGCTGTAACAGGAGCCATGATAAAGCTTTACTTTTACAGTTTTATTACACGTGCAAACAGTAATATTATTATGTATTGTAATAATGAAGTGGGCAATCCTCTTGTAACTTCACAACACACACACACACACACACACACA